CCTGTCACACCTCTGTCACGCCTCCTGTCACACCTCTGTTACGCCTCCTGTTACACCTCTGTCACGCCTCCTGTCACTCCTCTGTCACGCCTCCTGTCACTCCTCTGTCAGGCCTCCTATCACACCTCTGTCACGCCTCCTGTCACACCTCTGTCACGCCTCCTGTCATACCTCTGTTACGCCTCCTGTCACACCTCTGTCACGCCTCCTGTAACACCTCTGTCACGCCTCCTATCACACCTCTGTCACACCTCCTGTCACACCTCTGTCACGCCTCCTGTCACTCCTCTGTCACGCCTCCTGTCACTCCTCTGTCATGCCTCTGTCACGCCTCCTGGCACTCTTCTGTCACTCCTGTCACGCCTCCTGTCACGCCTCTGTCACTCCTCCTGTCACGCCTCCTGTCACGCCTCTGTCACTCCTCTGTCACGCCTCCTGTCACTCCCCTGTCATGCCTTTGTCACGTCTCCTGTCACTCCTCTGTCACGCCTCCTTTCACACCTCTGTCACGCCTCCTGTCACACCTCTGTCACGTCTCCTGTCACGCCTCCTGGCACTCCTCTGTCACGCCTTTGTCACGTCTCCTGTCACACCTCTGTCACGCCTCCTGTCACACCTCTGTCACGCCTTCTGTCACACCTCTGTCTCGCCTCCTGTCACGCCTCCTGTCACACCTCCTGTCACTCCTCTGTCACGCCTCCTGTCACGCCTCCTGTCACACCTCTGTCACGCCTCCTGTCACTCCTGTCACGCCTCCTGGCACTCCTCTGTCACGCCTCCTGTCACGTCTCCTGTCACACCTCTGTCACGCCTCCTGGCACTCCTCTGTCACGCCTCCTGTCACACCTCTGTCACGCTCCTAACAGTCCCCCCTTCACTCCACTGACACTCCTCTATCACGTCTGTGTCACGCCTGACACTCCCGACGTTCTTTAGTACCACACACACACCCTATATATATATATATATATATATATATATATATATATATATATATATATATATATATATATATATATATATATATATATATATATATATATATATATATATATATATATATATATATATATATATATATATATTAGTATATTTTGGTAGCAGTCTTTCCTGTAGACATATATTATTAAATATGACCGAAAAAGTAAGATTAATAATTCTAACACGAATTTTCTCAATCTTTCGTACATTACGCTTCACTGTTGGAGGTAAATCAAAAATCACTTCTCCAAAATTCATTTTTATTTCTAGTCTGACGCGACACGGGCGCGTTTCGTAAAACTTATTACATTTTCAAAGACTTCACAAATACACAACTGATTAGAACGTATCTCTGATTTATATCTACATTTGAGTGAGGTGGGAAGGGTGATGTGGCATTAACACAAGACAGAACAGGAGGGGATATTAATAGGGTATTAAAAGTATCAACACAAGACAGAACAGAAACAATGGGTATTGAATAGAAGTGTTTGTAGAAAGCCTATTGGTCCATATTTCTTGATGCTTCTATATTGGAGCGGAGTCTTGAGGTGGGTAGAATATAGTTGTGCAATAATTGGCTGTTGATTGCTGGTGTTGACTTCTTGATGTGTAGTGCCTCGCAAACGTCAAGCCGCCTGCTATCGCTGTATCTATCGATGATTTCTGTGTTGTTTACTAGGATTTCTCTGGCGATGGTTTGGTTATGGGAAGAGATTATATGTTCCTTAATGGAGCCCTGTTGCTTATGCATTGTTAAACGCCTAGAAAGAGATGTTGTTGTCTTGCCTATATACTGGGTTTTTTGGAGCTTACAGTCCCCAAGTGGGCATTTGAAGGCATAGACGACATTAGTCTCTTTTAAAGCGTTCTGTTTTGTGTCTGGAGAGTTTCTCATGAGTAGGCTGGCCGTTTTTCTGGTTTTATAGTAAATCGTCAGTTGTATCCTCTGATTTTTGTCTGTAGGGATAACGTTTCTATTAACAATATCTTTCAGGACCCTTTCCTCCGTTTTATGAGCTGTGGAAAAGAAGTTCCTGTAAAATAGTCTAATAGGGGGTATAGGTGTTGTGTTAGTTGTCTCTTCAGAGGTTGCATGGCTTTTCACTTTCCTTCTTATGAAGGAAAGACATCATAAGAAGGATCGAAGACATCATAAGAAGGAAAGTGAAAAGCCATGCAACCTCTGAAGAGACAACTAACACAACACCTATACCCCCTATTAGACTATTTTACAGGAACTTCTTTTCCACAGCTCATAAAACGGAGGAAAGGGTCCTGAAAGATATTGTTAATAGAAACGTTATCCCTACAGACAAAAATCAGAGGATACAACTGACGATTTACTATAAAACCAGAAAAACGGCCAGCCTACTCATGAGAAACTCTCCAGACACAAAACAGAACGCTTTAAAAGAGACTAATGTCGTCTATGCCTTCAAATGCCCACTTGGGGACTGTAAGCTCCAAAAAAACCCAGTATATAGGCAAGACAACAACATCTCTTTCTAGGCGTTTAACAATGCATAAGCAACAGGGCTCCATTAAGGAACATATAATCTCTTCCCATAACCAAACCATCGCCAGAGAAATCCTAGTAAACAACACAGAAATCATCGATAGATACAGCGATAGCAGGCGGCTTGACGTTTGCGAGGCACTACACATCAAGAAGTCAACACCAGCAATCAACAGCCAATTATTGCACAACTATATTCTACCCACCTCAAGACTCCGCTCCAATATAGAAGCATCAAGAAATATGGACCAATAGGCTTTCTACAAACACTTCTATTCAATACCCATTGTTTCTGTTCTGTCTTGTGTTGATACTTTTAATACCCTATTAATATCCCCTCCTGTTCTGTCTTGTGTTAATGCCACATCACCCTTCCCACCTCACTCAAATGTAGATATAAAATCAGAGATACGTTCTAATCAGTTGTGTATTTGTGAAGTCTTTGAAAATGTAATAAGTTTTACGAAACGCGCCCGTGTCGCGTCAGACTAGAAATAAAAATGAATTTTGGAGAAGTGATTTTGATTTACCTCCAACAGTGAAGCGTAATGTACGAAAGATTGAGAAAATTCGTGTTAGAATTATTAATCTTACTTTTTCGGTCATATTTAATAATATATATATATATATATATATATATATATATATATATATATATATATATATATATATATATATATATATATATATATATATATATATATATTTTTTTTTTTGTCTTGTCCTTACTCTCATGGTGGGTAGAGTAAATAGTTCCGTGATTTGGGTGTTCATGGTAGGTCGCTCTATTCTTATGTGAATTGCCTCAAGAATTTGTAATCTTCTTGAATCTTGGGTTTTGTATATATATATATATATATATATATATATATATATATATATATATATATATATATATATATATATGTCGTACCTAGTAGCCAGAACGCACTTCTCAGCCTACTATGCAAGGCCGATTTGCCAAATAAGCCAAGTTTTCATGAATTAATGTTTTTTCGACTACCTAACCTAACTTTTTCGGCTACCTAACCTAACCTATAGAGATAGGTTAGGTTTGGTTAGGTTAGGTAGGGTTGGTTAGGTTCGGTCATATATCTACGTTAATTTTAACTCCAATTAAAAAAAAATTGACCTCATACATAATGAAATGGATAGCTTTATCATTTCATTAGAACAAAATTAGAGAAAACATATTAATTCAGGAAAACTTGGCTTATTAGGCAAATCGGGCCTTGCATAGTAGGCTGAGAAGTGCGTTCTGGCTACTAGGTACGACATATATATATATATATATATATATATATATATATATATATATATATATATATATATATATATATATATATTATATATATATATATATATGCAGTTTTTCCTGTAGACATATATTATTAAATATGACCAAAAAAGTAAGATTAATAATTCTAACACGAATTTTCTCAATGTTTCTTATATTTTTCTTCACTGTTGATGGTAACTGAAAAATCAATTCTCCAAAATTAATTTTTATTTCTAGTCTGACGCGACACTTGAGCGCGTTTCGTAAAACTTATTACATTTTCAAAGACTTTAGTTTACACAGGCACAACTATAACTGAACAGAGCTTAAACATCTTCGATTTTATACCTGCATTTGGGTGAGGTGATATGTTACAACAGTTTTGGATGAGGTGAAAACAAACTTTTAACACAAGACAGAACACGAAACAATGGGTATAATATTTTGTAAGTTAAAGGGAAGAATGGAAGTAACAGCAAAGGGCCTATTGGCCCATATTTCTTTATGCTTCTATATTGATGCGGAGTCTTGAAGTGGGTAGAATATAGTTGTGTATTAATTGGCTGTTGATTGCTGGTGTCGAGTTCTTAATGTGTAGTGCCTCGCAGATATCTAGCCGCCTGCTATCGCTGTATCTATCGATGATTTCCGTGTTTTTTGTTAAGACTTCTCTGGTGATGGTCTGGTTGTGGGAAGAGCTTATATGTTCCTTAATGGAGCTCTGTTGCCTATGCATCGTTAATCGCCTGGAAAGAGATGTTGTTGTCTTGCCTATATACTGAATTCTTTGAGACTTACAGTCCCCAAGTGGTCATTTGAAGGCATAGACGACATTGGTCTCTTTTAAAGCGTTCTGCTTTGTGTCTGGAGAGTTTCTCATGAGTAGGTTGGCCGTTTTTTTGGTTTTATAGTAGATCGTCAGTTGTATCTTCTGATTTTTGTCTGTAGGGATAACGTTTCTATTAACAATATCTTTCAGGACCCTTTCCTCCATTTTATGAGCTGTGGAAAAGAAGTTCCTGTAAAATGGTCTAATAGGAGGTACAGGTGTTGTGTTAGTTGTCTCTTCAGAGGTTGCATGGCATTTCACCTTCCTTTTTATGATGTCTTCAACGAAACCATTGGAGAAGCCGTTGTTGACTAGGACCTGCCTTACCCTACAGAGTTCTTCTTCGACTTGCTTCCATCCTGAGCTGTGGCTGAGAGCACGGTCAACAAGCGTTGACAACATTCCTCTTGTATCTGTCTGGGCAGTCACTATTGGCACTGAGGCACATTCGTATGTTTGTTTCCTTCGTGTAGACTGCAGTGTGGAAGCACCCACACAGCTGACCACAAGGTCTGGATAACTCACCCACACACAGCTGACCACAAGGTCTGGATAACTCACCCACACAGCTGACCACAAGGTCTGGATAACTCACCCACACACAGCTGACCACAAGGTCTGGATAACTCACCCACACACAGCTGACCACAAGGTCTGGATGAACATGGATGTAGGCGCTTGCCTGTAATAGTTTTTTTGGCTCGTCAGCCGCCAGTACAGTAGTCTTTGTGTATAGTTATTTACATCCGTGATTGCAGCAAATGTTAGCGACGAGATGAAAAGTGAATGGTTGATGCAGGTGGGTGTGGAGCCACCCCCCCGGTGTATCGTTAGACAAGGGGTGGTTGGGGGGGGGGGTCTGGCAGGGTAACTTGGCTATTTTAAAGACGCCTCCGTCAACCCGCCAATTATTTTCACCAGGAACATGAACTCGGCTACATGTTTCTGTTCGTATTGCTTCACTCTCAATATTAATGCTATTTGGCGTTGACTCTGCTGGTTTAGTTATCAATATATTTGATAACTATTATGAAACACTTTTAAAGTTTCTTTAATCCCAGTCAACCAACATTCCTTGTTTTTGTATGAGAATGTCAGTGCCCCATGCTTGCTATTTCCGGGAGCAGGCTTGGGGCCATGGACCCCGAGGTGCTTCCTGCCCGCAAGCATCATTGTCTAGCACGTCAACTCTACGGACACGAATACCTGCGTTTTACCACTGAGCTCCGTCGGGTCAAGAGTCCTCAGAGCGTGTGCACAAATGACCAACATTTCTCTGTAAAATTATATCTTTCTCAATTAAATTTTAAGCAGCATATTATAATTTATTTACGTTTTGTATTTTACAGTTTTCCCCGTGGAGAAAGAGAGCAAAATACTTAAGATAATTCTTGAAATAATGAGAACAATGCCGCACCAACCATGGCTGATTATATGAGGCGTGCGTGTGGTAGTCGGTGTGAAGCAGACAACACTTGTTTCGTCACTAAGGTGACTCCTATAATAATACTTGTAGTCTTTACAATTATACTTTACAATAATTAATGTTTACAATAATTATACTTTACAATACTTACACTTTACAGTCAAAAGTTTCAAGAATGGAATTTCAGTGTTTCAAACCCCAATTTTCTGGAAATTTCTGCGTTAACTCAGTCACTAGCTGATTTCTTTCAATATTTTCAAATCCAGCTCTTAGGTGAACTAAATTGTGCCTCTAAACACTTGCACACACTTGCTTAAACACCCAAGTAAGAAGTATAGAAACTTTAGACACAAATGGCCAGGGTTCAAGTTCCCTGGTGGGTGTTTGTGTCTAAAGTTTCTATACTTCTAACTTGCGCGTTTAAGTGTGTGCATTAAGCACGGACTACGTGTTCTCCCACATATAACAGGGCTTGATAGAAAACGTCAAATACCCCTCACTGTACCATTGCCTGGAAGAAGATGGGTTGTCTGGGAGTTAAATACCCCAGAATTCCCAGTTCTTTTAAGGGCTCTGAGTATGGTGTAGTGGGTATAAGTGCGTACCTGCCATCTTGATGGCCAGGGTTCAAGTCCCCTGGTGGGTGTTTGTGTCTAAAGTTTATATATATATATATATATATATATATATATATATATATATATATATATATATATATATATATTGTTGATGTACCTAGTAGCCAGAATGCAGTACTCGGCCTACTATACATATATATATATATTATTCGTATATTTTGGTAGCAGTCTTTCTTGTAAACATATGTTGTTAAATATGACCGACAAAGTAAGATTAACAATTCTAACACGAATTTTCTCAATATTTCTTATCTTTCTTTTTACTGTCGATGGTAATTGAAAAATCAGTTCTCCAAAATTCATTTTTATTTCTAGTCTGACGCGATGTTTGAACGCGTTTCGTGATAACTTATTACATTTTCATAGACTTTAGTTTACACACACACAACTGTAACCTGAAAACACTAAACAAAGTTTTACTTATGCTAACACTAAACAGCTTGTCTTATATACTCGCACTTGGGTGAGGTGATATGTTGCAACAGTTTTGGATGAGGTGATCAAACTTTTGACCAACACAAGACAGAACACAGAACAATGGGCATTAATAGGATACCTTACCTTGCCTTGAGGTGCTTCCGGGGCTTAGCTTCCACGTGGCCTAGTCGTCGACCAGGCCTCCTGGTTGCAGGACTGATCAACCAGGCTGTTGGACGCGGCTGCTTGCAGCCTGACGTATGAGTCACAGCCTGGTTGATCAGGTATCCTTTGGAGGTGCTTATCCAGTTCTCTCTTGAACACTGTGAGGGGTCGGCCAGTTATGTCCCTTATGAGTAGCGGAAGCGTGTTGAACAGTCTCGGGCCTCTGATATTGATAGAGTTCTCTCTCAGAGTACCTGTTGCACCTCTGCTTTTCAACGGGGGTATTCTGCACATCCTGCTATGTCTTCTGGTCTCATGTGATGTTATTTCTGTGTGCAGGTTTGGGACCAGCCCCTCTAATATTTTCCACGTGTAAATTATTATGTATCTCTCCCGCCTGCGCTCAAGGGAGTACAGATTTAGGCTCTTTAGTCGGTCCCAATAGTTTAGATGTTTTACTGAGTGGATTCTAGCAGTAAAGGATCTCTGCACGCTCTCCAGGTCAGCAATTTCTCCAGCTTTGAAAGGGGCTGTCATTGTGCAGCAGTACAAAATTATCTTGTAATTGGATAAATGAGAGGGAAGAATGGAAGTAACGGCAAAGGGCCTATTGGCCCATACTTCCTCTTGATGCTTCTATATTGGTACCGAGTCTTGAAATGGGTTGAATATAGTTGTGCATTAATTGGCTGTTGAATGCTGGTGTTGACTTTTTGATGTGTAGTGCCTCGTAGATGTATATAGGCAAGACAACAACATCTCTTTCCAGGTAATTAACAATGCATAAGCAACAGGGCTCCATCAGGAAACATATAATCTCTTCCCACAACCATACCATCACCAGAGAAGTCTTAACAAACAACACAGAAATCATCGATAAATACAGCGATAACAGGCGGCTCGACATCTGCGAGGCACTACACATCAAAAAGTCAACACCAGCAATCAACAGCCAATTAATGCACAACTATATTCTACCCACTTGAAGACTCGGCTCCAATATAGAAGCATCAAGAGGAAGTATGGGCCAATTGGCCCTTTGCCGTTACTTCCATTCTTCCCTCTCATTTATCCAATTAATACCCATTGTTCCGTGTTCTGTCTTGTGTTGGTCAAAAGTTTGTTCACCTCATCCAAAACTGTTGCAACATATCACCTCACCCAAGTGCGAGTATATAAGACAAGCTGTTTAGTGTTAGCATAAGTAAAACTCTGTTTAGTGTTTTCATGTTACAGTTGTGTGTGTGTAAACTAAAGTCTTTAAAAATGTAATAAGTTATTACAAAACGCGTTCAAGCGTCGCGTCAGACTAGAAATAAAAATGAATTTTGGAGAATTGATTTTTCAATAACCATTGACAGTAAAAAGAAACAAAAGAAATATTGAGAAAATTCGTGTTAGAATTATTAATCTTACTTTTTCGGTCATATTTAACAACATTATATATATATATATATATATATATATATATATATATATATATATATATATATATATATATATATATATATGTGTATATCACGAAAATAAACACGTGATTAAGAATGTGACAATGTCAGACCACGGAGGAAAAATGAAACAGGAAATTTCCTTAAGTACTTTCGTATATTAAATACATCTTCAGAAGGTCCTATATTAAATACATCTTCAGAAGGTCCTATATTAAATACATCTTCAGAAGGACCTTCTGAAGATGTATTTAATATACGAAAGTACTTAAGGAAATTTCCTGTTTCATTTTTCCTCCGTGGTCTGACATTGTCATATATATATATATATATATATGACAGTGTCAGACCACGGAATTTCCTTAAATACTTTCGTATATTAATACATCTTCAGAAGGAGCCCTTCTGAAGAGTCCATCTTCACTCCTTCTGAAGATGTATTAATATACGAAAGTATTTAAGGAAATTCCTGTTTCAATTTTCCTCCGTGGTCTGACACAGTCATATTTTTAATCACGTTTATTTTCGTGATACACACACACAGTTATATATATATATATATATATATATATATATATATATATATATATATATATATATATATATATATATATATATATATATATATATATATATATATATATATATATATATATATATATATATATATATATATATATATATATATATATATATATATATATATATATATAATATATATATATATATATATATATATATATATATATATATATATATATATATATATATATATATATATATATATATATATATATATATATATATATATATATATATATATAATGTAATATAATAATATAATATTGCATGGCCTGCACTGTGGAAAATCTGGTGGTTGGCACTAGACACGACGAAGTCAATGACATCATTAAAAGAAGCCTTACCTCTGCTCAATGTCCAGCGGAGAGAGAGCCCCGCAACCTACTGAACCGTGACTCTGTTAGCTTTACCGGCCGATCAGACGGAATCACACTGCGTCCGTGAAAGGGTGGCAGACAGTTGGGATGGGACTATACTTGCGTATCCACCCTGGCAACCACATACATCAACCTATCTGCCGGCACAGCAGGAACAGTGGCGACACACAGAGAAAGACACAAGTCAGCCAAGTACAGGTAATTAGATCATCGGTACAACTTCGTTCCAATAGGGTCTGAGACCCTAGGCCCATGGGGAGAGAGTGCAAGAAGGTTTCTTAAGGATATTGGTTCCAAGCTCATTGACACCACAAGAGACCCTAGAGCGGCAAGTTTTCTCTGTCAGCGCCTCAGTGTCGCGATCGAGAGGGGGAATGTCCGCTGCATCCTCGGTTCCTGCCCGGCGTCGGAGGAGTTCGAGGAAATCTACAGCCTCTAGGAAGCGAACTTTTTTTTTTGTGTCTTCTTAATGTTCATTTTTTTGTATAAAATCAGATATGTAACTGTATAACCTTGCATAATAAAGTGTACACCATAAAAAAGGGGGGTGGTAGGAGAAGCGAACACTCATACGTATTCAGAGTTAAATGGCAAGTTTTTCCCTGAATGCTTTGTGTTCCCTTTTCTGAGGCTGTGGGTCCCTATAATTGCACCAGAGGTGGTACCTTTCCCTATATATATATATATATATATATATATATATATATATATATATATATATATATATATATATATATATATATATATATATATATATAAAATATAATATAATATAATGCAAAAAACGTATTGGATAACAGAGCTTGAAATCAATAGGATCAATATATACAATATATAAAAAGTTTAATGAATGCGTGTTTGTCTGCGTATTCAGTGATGCAGATATGCAGTATAGAGAGGCGAGGAGCGAGGGCAGCAGTGCCACAAGCAGTACTTGGTTAAGAATACAAGCAGGTCTGGGCGGCGGGAAGCCTAGTCAGCCTCCCACAACAGGTGGTTCTCTGCCAAGATCTATAAGTATACATCGCACCCTCTCAAGCCCACATCTTAGCCCAGAATTTGAGCTGCATTGTATTGTCCCTATACTTAAGTATTACACAAAAATTTCCTGCAATTTTCAGGATTTTAATAGGCTACCTGGAGCCATAGGAATGTCGATATTGAATTTCGGTAAGCACAATCTTAACTGATTCTACTGATTAACTTGCGAATTCTTATATACTCCTCATTGTGGATTACACTGTATTTAATATTTGGCAGATATCTAGCCCATTTGTGCATTCTAGGGAATGTCATATATATTATATGCAGCCTTGTTGTGCATTTTAGGGTACGTCATATATATTATATTCATAAAATATAATTATGGATTTTGCATCTAATGCAGGTGCTCTCGTTGGATAAATGTTGAGTTTGATGTGAAGGGCTTCAGTTGCTT